GCTACAGAGAAATGAGGGAAGGGGGGATTTTTTAATCAATTAATGAGCAGAAAAAGTCTTGAAACAAAAAGGAGGCCTAAGCCTCCGATGGCAGGGAGGCCGAGAGGCCGGCGGGGCAGGAGTGGGCCCTGCCGCAGGTGAGGCCGGAGGCAGCCGGCGAGGGGCTGCTCCTCCTGGGGCCGCAGCTGGCCAGGGAGAGTCAGAATAGGGCCGTGGCTCTGCGACCCACTGATCCCTTGAGTGCTCCAGGTATTTGTACCGTAGGCTTGGGTTTGTTGGGTGGCGTTACAGCGGGAAGCCTCGAGGCCGTGCTGTCTTATCTCTTTTTTTTCAAATTGCTGCCTTTGACAGTATCCTTTTTTTTTTTTTTTTTTTTCACTTGGCCGTAAATCATTTCACTAATCAGCTGTCACCAGCCAACATGCATACATTGGCATTCAGCCGGAGAATTTGTTTTGGAAGGCCTTTAGCAACAAACCCTCTGTTTGTATCAATAACCGGCTGCTCCGTCCCGTGTAGCCGGCTGTGCCACCCGGGGGGCAGGGGTGCTGAGCGGGGTGCTGAGCCGCGGGGGTCTCGGCCCCTCTCTGCTCCCCCCCCCTCCGCACCCCGCCTCGCAAACAACTCGGCAAACCCGGGGCCGTTTCTCCGCGTTTCTCCTGGGACCCGATCCAGTTCAACGAGCGCTGCGTTTACATTTGCAGCCGGCAGGCAGGAGCGCGGGAGAGGGCTGGGGTGTGCTGTAAGCAAACAGAAAGCCAAAAAAAAAAAAAAAAAAAGGGGGGGGGTGGGGGTAAAAAAAAAAAAAAAAAAAAAAGAAAAGGCGGAGGGGGGGGAGAACAAAAGGTGCCGGGCCGAGACGCGCCGCCCGGGAGGCGCAGGGCAGGATGCGGCCCCGCACCGCCCCGCATCCGCTTCGCACCGTGTTCCCGGCCACAGCGGCCGCCCCGTCGGGCCGGGCAGGGGCAAACCGAGCCGGGCAGGGGCAAGCCGAGCCGGGCTAGGGCCGAGCCGGGCCGGGCAGGGCCTCGCAGCCCGTGGCGCGGGCGCGGAGCGCAGCGCAGGGCCGGGGCGCGCACACTGCGCCATCTGGCAGCGGCAGGGCGCTGGTTTGCGGCGAGCCTCCGAAGCTCTCGCCGTCGACTTTGTCTTTCTCTGTCAGAGGCAAGTAAAAAAGAAACAGCTGGCCTGAATTTTTAGCACCCATAATTAATTAAGAGCTTCATTCCTGGGATTTGATGATTCAATAAAGCAAGACCCTTATTCCCCTATGTGATTCCAGTGAATATCTCCTCCACTCCAATCCTTTCGGGTCCCAAGATAGGGCAGATTAACGCTCTTTTTCTGTGGGAGAGAGGGGAAAAAATGCCTCAAGATTGCATCTGAGGCGCGCACAAAAGGTAAATTCAAAACTGCCACTTGTTCTCTGCAAAGGCTCCTTATTCTGCGCTATTGATGCATTTGTGCCAGGTTTTAAAGGAACCGGAGGGGGGATGAGGAATTACCATATTGCTCCTTTGGAAAAACAGCCGGTTCTGGTTTTGGTAACACTTGTTCCGCTGCCAGCCCCAGATGTCCTTACTAAGAATAAGCCGGGCAGGTCGCAGGACGAGGGGAGCGGGCTGGGGGCTGCTGGGCCGAGCCGGGCCGGGCCGGGCTCCCCGTCCTTGCTCACATTCGCGTCCTGCCCCCCCGGCGTCTGGCAGGGGAAGGGGCCGGGGGGCAGTTCCTGCACTTTTCGCTCCTGCCAAACTCCGTCGTTTCTTTTTTCTTTATTATTTTTTTTCCTGTCGCCTCCTTTAAACTTGCTGACCGTGTGCTTTTTCCCGGCGTGGCGGCGGAGGGGCTTTCGCGTCGTTTCCAGGCACGATGATGGGAGATGCAGCTCACATCCCCTGACCGGGCGCGGGGGGAGCGCCCTTAAAATCCCTAAAAAAAACTTAAATCCCCCTAAAAACCCCGTAAACGCGGCCGCGGCCGCTCAGCGCAGTGCGGGACCCCGCAGTTTCAAAGCGGGCCCGCAGCAAAGCAGCGCCGGCGGGGCGAGCAGCGGGGGGGATGTAAACACGGCCCGGGGCGGGGGGGCCGCAATTAGGATTTGGTTGGGGTTTAAGCGTGAAAGAGGAAGCAGCGGGGCTGCGGGCTGCGCCGGGCTCCCCGCCTCGCCTGCCCTCCGCCGTTGAGAAGCGGGGACAGAGCTTAGGGGGGGGGGGGTCCCGCCGCCCCCAAAATCCCCCACCCAATCCCTACTGGGCTCCGGCCTCCCCCCAGGCTCGGCCCTATTTCCCCCGGGGCTCGGGGCTGTTTTGCCGTGGACGGCTCCGGCCGGTTGCGACGGGACCCCCGGGGCATTGCGCCCGGCTTCGGGGCACCCTGCGGGGGGGCTTTCCCGAGAAACCCCCATCCCTGGCACCCCACGCGTGGGGTCGGGCCGAGCCCCATCCCTGCGGCACCCACCCTGCCCCTTCTGCTTCGGGGGGGGGGACACCGGCGCCCCGCAAACCGCTGCCACCCGCGCCGGGGTGAAGCTCTCCGGCGGGCACGGAGCGGTGCGGGGCCGGGACCCTTCCCACCTGCACCACCTGCAGCCGGGGGGGGCCCGGCCCTCAGCACCCCCCCGCCGGCCTCGCTACCCCCCTCGGCCGCCCCCGGCCCGCTCCGCAGCGGCCCCGAACCGCGCCCGGCCCCGGCTCCTCCGAGGAACCTTTAATTGGCGGCAGGCGGGATTTTTATTTTAAGAGTACCCCCCAGTTTTTTGGTTTTTGGAGCAACAAATTCCCGCAGCAGAGGGGAAAAGGGCGGGCGCTGCCCCCTCCCTGGGCTCCGTTAGGAAATGAGAGATCCCAGGGAAATCGCGGGGATGGGGGAGCCGGGCGCGCCGTCCAGCTCCCGCTGCAGGGGGAACGGGTGAAGAGCAAAATTGTTGGGTGAAATCGATGGGGCCGGAATAATAGTGACGGGCTGAAATCGGCCACGGGCTGCAACCTAAAGGGAACGGTTAATTCCCGTAGGAATTTATACATCAAACGAAAAGCGCGTTGAGATGGCCGATAGACCTATTGAAAACAGCCCCGGTTAGGAGGAGCAGGGCTCTGAACCGAGCCGCGCTCCTGGGCTGCTTTGCGAGGTGCCTTTTTTCGGAGAGAGGAAGATCAGCTGGGAAAAGGTAGAGCGACGATTTAAAAAATAATAATAATAATAAAATTTTAAAAAAAAAATCAACTCTCCCTGGTTAGATGAATAATTAAAACCTCTTTATTTAGACGCAGCCGTTTGGCTGCGGGACCTGTTGTCTGCCCGGGGCCCCGCGGGCTCCCTGCGGCAAAGGGCGCTCGGGGCTCGCCGGGACCCTGCCGGGACCGCTCCGCACCCGGCCCCCGCTGCCCCTGCCCCTGCCCCTCCCGGCACAAACTTCGCCCCGTTTGAAGCCAGGCGGGTGAGGCCAGCAGAGCTCACTCCTGCGCCCAAAACGCGCCATCCCGCAGGTTTCCCCGGCTGTAAAGAAAAGATCCGACCGAGGAATTGGAGCGTTGTTTTTCGGTTTTTTTCTTTTCTTTCTTTTTTTTTTTTTTCAAAAATCATTTATAATTTATAAAGTGACAAAATAACATACTGTTAGCCCAGGAATATTTGAGTCTTTACACATTCGGGTTGAAACAATTTTGGTTTTAAACGAGATCGGCTACAAAGAGCGTATAACCAAGTGAACACTGGAGCGCATCTTTAAAATACAAAATACAAACTACTAGTTGAAATCCCGTAAAATGGAAATACGCATGAATAAACCTGTTATAGCTAATAAACGGCTCTGACAAAGTTGAAAAGATTACGAAATTATTATCCGGCTGGTTAAAAAGAAAAAAAAATAAAAGAAAAAAGAAAACGAAAAAACAAAAAAAAAAGAAAAAAAAAAAAAACGAAAAAAGTGAACGGAGAGGGGTGCCCGAGCACCGGCTCCAGCGGCGCCGCCGCTCTTCCCAGCGCGCTCACAGCGGCGCTGCCCTCGCCTGCAGCCGGCACCCCCAAAATCCCATTTATTTGGGGACGGGGGGGACAAACCCGGGGCCGGTCCCTCCCGGGGCAGGGAGCACTTTAGGGAAGCGGCGGAGGCTCGGCGAGCTGCCCGGCCTCCGGCTCCAGCGGCGGGGCAAGGCTCGGCGGGGGCTTGGGGGCGTTTTGGGGGGTTCGGGGGGCCGGCGGCGCCCCCCACCCCACTCCCACCGCCCAGCCTGCCCGGGGCGCGGCGGCGGCGGCCCCGCGGGGCTCCCGCAGCGGCGGGCGGGCAGCGGGAGCCAAAGCCGGGCCGAGTGTGACACCTACCTGCCAGCGCCGGCAAGCACCGCGCCCGCGGCCGGCTGCGCACCCGCGGCCAGCCCCGAGCCGGGCCGGGGCCCCCCCGGAGCCCCCTGTCCCCCGGTCCCCTCCCCCCCGCGGTCCCATCCCCGGGCACCGCCGCCGCGCCAGCGAGGGCTTAAATCTGGCAGAAAATCGAACTCATTAGCAAAGTTCACCAGCTGATTGCTTTGCAGAAAACGCGACACTGATTGCGAGTAATTAGGTTAAAAGCCGGGCCCGCGCTCCGAACAAGTGCCTTCGCCTCTGGCCCGCTCCGGGGGCCCGGTACCGGCGCTGCCCCGGCCCCGCTGCGACGAGCGCGGCCCCCGGGGCTCCCCCCGGGGCTCCCCCCGGCCCCGGCCCCGCGGCAGGTGCGGAGCGGCCCCGGTGCGTCCACCGGTATCCGCCCGTGGCAAAAAAAGAGGGGTTTTGCTTCTGTTAAAAATCTCTTTTAATTAAATATTTGCGTTTTACAAAGGCGACTGCAGGTTGGGGTTTGTTGGTTTTTGTATCTAAGAAGTATAACCTAGGTCCTTTTTTTTTTTTTTTTTTGCGTTATAGTTTAGCTCACACCCAAGGAAAAAAAAACAATAGGCATAAAAAATTAAATTAAACTTGTATATATATATTTTTAAAACTATGAAACAATTCGGAAAAAGACACAGAAATGTATATATTTATATTACGAAAACAACATTAATGCCTGTACAGGTGTCTTGATTTCATAATTTACTTCAAAGATACTGTATTATCAATTTAAATACAAAAAAGCTACATTAAATATACAGAATAAGATTTCATACAAATCTTTCTTCTTTGTGTGTGTGAGAGAGAGCGTGTCACTCGTTGGCTTTTCGCTTGGTTAAGACATTTCGGGGCGGTTTCCCCCCAGCCCTTTCCAATAGACTCTATAAACTTCTGGGGGGGCGCAGGGGGAGGGGGGAGCTGCTCTTTTTCTGCTCGCTTTGTTTTGCCTTTCTTTTGGTAGTGGAAAAATAACTGCCGAAGCAATTTAGCATTTCTTTCAATAAATTAAAAAAAAAATAAAGGAAATAATAATAATAACAGAAGAACCAAACCACAGTCCCGGGCCGGGGGGCGGTAGGGGGGGGGGTAAGGAGGAGAAGCCGGTATTAAATGTTGGACATACCTTTCTTCAGTTCGTAAGGTGAGTCTTTGCAAAGGTCTACCTGGGCCTGGCTCCTGCCCAGTTTGCTTTCCTTCGCCAGGCTCTCGGCTCTGTTGAGGACAGTCTGGTTTAATCCATTGAAGGGGGCGCCGGGCGCGGCGGCCCCGCCGGCGGGGTGCCCGTGCAGGGCCCCGAAGGAGCCGTAGTTCGTGTAGCCGGGGTAGAAGGGCGCCGTGTAGTAGAGGGGCCGCGGCAGCACGGCCCCGTTGGGGAACGGGCACTGCGCCCCGGGCGAGCGCGGCCGCGGCGGCGAGGGGCGCGGGGGACCCCCGGCAGCGCCACCGCCGAGGACGGGGGGCCCGGGGGGCGCCGCCTCGCCGCCGGCCTCCTTCGCCTTGTCCGCCGAGGTGGCGATCTCGGCCAGCGACCAGAGCTTGGGCTTGGCGAGGGCCGCCTGCTGCGGCGAGTGGATGACCGAGGGGGCGGCGGGCAGCAGCGGGTGCAGCTCGGCGGCGGCGGGCGGCGGCGGCCCGGTGGTGGCGGCGGAGGGTGGCCGGTACGGAGGGGGCTCCTCGCCGCGCCCCCCCGGTGGGGAAACGCCGGGCGCCTTGGGCAAGGCCGGCAGCCCGTCGAGCCGCTCCTCCGCCGGCTCCTTGCAATCCGAGTCGCTCAGGCCGCCCTCGGCCTCCCGGGGGCTGGGGGGCTCCTGCAGGCGCTCGCAGCCCGGCGCTGCCTTGGGCTCCGCGGCTCCTGGAGGGGAGGGATGGGGGGGACAGGGCAGGGGGAGTCGGGGGCTGCTCGGCGGCTCGCCCCGCGCCCCCCGGCCCGGCCCCCGGCGCCCCCCGGCTCCCCCCGGCAGCCCCGAGGGCTCCGCTGCCCTACCTGTGTCCGGCGAGCCGGGGTCCCCCTTCGGGGCGTCCTCGGGCTTGTGCGGCTCGTCCTCGTCGTTCTTCTCCAGGTCGATGTTCTCCTCCTCCTCCTCGTCCTCGCTGCGGTTCCGCGGGGTCCAGGTCATCTTGTTCTCCTTCTTCAGCCTCCGCCGCGCGTTGGCGAACCAGGTGGAGACCTGGGTGAGGGTCATCTTGGTGATGATGGCCAGCATGATCTTCTCGCCCTTGGTGGGGTAGGGGTTCTTGCGGTGCTCGTTGAGCCAGGCCTTGAGGGTGGCCGTGGCGTCCCGCGTGGCGTTCTTGCGGTACGCGGGGTCCCCGTAGGGGTAGGAGCCGAGCGGCGCCGCGTACGGGTGGTAGCCCAGGGAGCCGGCCATGCCCGGCGGGTGCTCGTAGGGCGAGCCCTGCGGAGAGAGGGGACAGCGGCCCGGCGGGGCGAGGCGACGTGAGGCGGCCGCGGGGCGACAATGACACGGCAAGGACAGCGCCGGGCCCGGCCCGCGGCCCTCGCCTCGCCCCCAGCGCCGGGCCCGGCGCGACCGCGGCCCCCGGGGGAACGGCGGGGGTCGGGGGGGGGGGGGGGGGGGGCGGCCCCGGGAGGCTCCGGCCCCGGGAGGCCGCTCACGGGAACGCGGAGCCTCGCCCCGAAAAGCCGGTGGTGGGCAGCGCGGCCGGGGGACCCTTCCCTTCCTCTCCTTCTGTCCCTTCCCTTCCTTCCCACCTTCTTTTCCCTTTCTTGCCGTCTTTCCCTTCCCTTCTCTCGTTTCTCTTCCTTTCTTTCCCTTCTTCCCCCCGGGCTGCCACCGCAGCGGGCAACCTGCCGGGCCCCGGCGGCCGGGCCGGGCCGTACAGGGCGGCTGCTCCTCCGGGGGCTGGAGGGGGGAAATAAAGGGAAAAGGGGAGAAAGGCAGAGAAAAGAGGGAAAGAAAAAAAGAGGAGAAAAAGGGAAAAGGGAAAGAACTCCGTGCAACTCCGCCTGGACGCGAACCGGGGGGAGAAGCGCAGGCAAAGTCCCCGCTCCTGCTGCTTCGGAGGGAGCGCGGGGCTCGGGCTGGGGCTGCCCCGGGCCGGTCCCGCGGAGCCCCCCCGGCAGCGCCGAGCCCGGCCGCCCCCTGCCCTGCCCCGCCGGGCGGCCGGGGATTAGAGCCGGGCCGTAATGAAGCAGCCCAATTAGCGCCGCGAGGGGAAAGTTGCCTGGCTTTACCGCCCGCATTTCGCCCACCGCCGGCCGCTGATGCGTTCGTTCCCTTTCAAACCACAACAAGAAAATTGTTGCGGAATAAAAGTGCTCCTTTATTTAAAAAAAAAATATATATAGAGAGAGAGATTTTGTGTTCAGAGGAATGAAACCCGTCCCCGCCCGGCCGCTGCCCGCCCCAGCCCCGTCTCGCCCCGGCCGCGGCGGCTCCGAAAAAAAACTAAAAGGGGACCGATAAAGGGGGCGGCGGGGACTAGAAAAGGGGGCGCGGGGTACCGAAAAAGGGGGCGCGGGGGGCGCGGGGCTGCTCTTACCACGTAGGAGGTGAAGGCGGCGGCGGCGGCGGCGGCCGGGTCGGTGCCGTACTGGAGGTGGGAGTTGTAGCCCGGGGAAGGGGCGGTGAAGGCGGTAGATCCGGCATAAGGGGAAAAAGCGGAGCCCGACGACGATCTGCCGAGTTCATCGGTCCTGGGGCCGGAGATCACGCTGGTGCTGTACGCCGGGCAGGAGTAGAGAGCCAAGGACGCCGACGGCTGGTACAAGTAACCCTGAGGATACGACATGGCCAGGCGCACACATATACCCGGGGGGGAGCCCGGGGCACCGGGGGGCGGCTGCCGGGCTGGGGCGGCTGCGGCCGGGGCTTCGCGGGCGCCTCTCGGCCCTGGCCCGGCGGGCAGCGGCGGCACCTTGCTCCGCGCCGCTCCCGCAGCCTGGCACCGCGTCCTCCGCCGCCCCCGCCGCTCGCTGCTTTTCCCCCTCTGCTCCTCGCTCTCTCTCCCCCTCGCACCGAGAGGGGGGCGGCTTGGTGGTTTTTTTTTTTGTCTTTTTGTGTTTTTTGTTTTTTTCTTTTCTTCCTTCCTTCCCCCCCTCTTTTTTTCCTCCTCGCTCTGGCTTTCCGAAGGGTCCTGCCAAGATGCTAAGTTGGAAATCGCAGCTCCTGACGCCTTCTAGCGCGGCCCGCCGAGGCTCCTCCTTCGCGGGGTGTTGTCAGCGCCAGGACTGGCAGGACCCCGCCGGGCTCCGCGGCCGGGCCCAGCCCGCGGGGGGGCTCCGCGCTCCCCCCGGCCCCCCCCGGGCCCTCCCCGCCGAGCCGAGGCTCAAGTGCGCCGGCTCCTGGCCCGCAGGCACCGCTCCGGCCGCAGCTCCCCGGCGGCACGCAGGGCAGCGGCGGGAGGAAATAATGAAAAATAGGCAGATTTAATGCGATTTATCAGCCGCCCGCCCCCCCCCAGCCATCCCCACCCCTCTGCTCGCTGCCCCCTGCCCCTCCCTCCAGTGAGCGGTGTGTTTGGGGGGGGGGGGGCGGTGCTTTTTGGGGGCGCTCGGCGCATCCGCGGGGGGTGCGCGGCCACCGAGAGCCGTCGGGGGGCGGCGGGGGGGCGCGGAGCCCCCCTCGGGGTGCAGCCGACGCTGTCTGGAACGCGGCGTGGCCCGGGGGGACCCGGCAGCGGCCCCGCTGCCCCCGGGCTCAGCCCCAAACGGGCCGCGGGCGGCGCCCCCCCCCCCGACGGCGGGGGCTGGGGGGCGACCCCCGGCGGGCAGGAGGCGGCGGGGCCGGGCGGGGCGGGCGCGCCGCGGACTACATTTCCCATCGGCCCCCGCCGCCGCCGGCCCCGCCCTCGCCCCTCCCGCCGCCCGGTTGGCCGCCCTCCCGCGGCCGGCGGGCCGTCCTGCGCTCCCATTGGCCGGCCGCGCCGTCGCTCAACGCGGGGGGGGGGCGGGGCGGGGGAGCGGCCGGAGTGCGGAAGCGGCGCTGGCAGGAGGCGCTGCGCCCCGGGGCGGCCTCCGGGGGAGCGGCTCCGGGAGAGGCTGCCCCGGCGCTGCGGGGCGCCCCCTGCCGGCCGGGACGGGACGGGACGGGACGGGGCTGCCGCCGGTGCCGGACCCCGGGACGCGGCCGTGCCCGGTGCCAGCAGCGTCCCAGCTGCAGCCCGGCGTGGCAGAAAAAGCAGCGATCCGGCCCAAAAAGCAGCGCCCCGCTGTCCGCAGCCTGGAGGAGCCGCGCGCTGCTGCCGGTAGGTGCGGGTCGGGCTGGGGGCGGTTTCTCACCGATGGGGTCCCCCCGGTGGGCTCCGCGAGCCCAGTGTATTCCAACCGCTCCTCCGCGATTCAGTTCAGCCGCCTGAACAAGCGATTCAAACTCTCCGTTTCCCAGCCTTTAATCCGCCGGGCTTGCCCTGCAGAGCTTTTTAAAACGATCCCTGCTCGCTGCACTACCCAGGCTGGAGCAGACTGTTAGGCATAAGGAGAACCTGAATTTGCCACAACCACACGAAACGCAGCGACCAAACCTTAGCAATATTTGAGCTTGCAGATTTAGGCGTTTTTCCACGCTGGTTTCATTTGCATAAGTTCATTTAGGATGCGCAAACATCTGCGGCACGGGCTAAAACAGCTTAATAAAACAGTGCACGAGGATCTAACAGGAATTGCCGGTGAGTATTTTCCTTTTGGAAGGGGAAAAGGTTCGGGGTGGTTGTGAAAATAACAGCAAATAATATATCTGCAAAGTGCAGCGTTGGTCGTGTCTGGCTGTGAGTGGTGCAGTTGCAGGTGGATTGTGTTGGATGGAGTTAAACTTGGGTATCTCGAATGTGATACACTTAATCTAATTACTTTAATAGCTACTTTCTGTTGAAACTTTAAAATCTACCGACCCTGGCTTTTGCTGCAGTCTTTAGAGATCTAATCGTCGGTGTGTGTGCCTGAGATGTAAAACTTAGTGCGAAGAGAGGCAACAGATTGGTTCCGTCATATGATTTTGTTGGTTTTGGTGGTGCTTTTTTTTTTTGAGTGTACTTAAAAGATTATGATGGATAATGCTGTCTTGCCAAAGAATGCCGACACAGGTGTTCATCATTATCTTAATTAAGATCCTGAGAAAATGTCATCTTTCGGCATGAATTATGAAGGGAGATGCATTAGGAGATCACTTCAACTCTCTCTCTTTTTTTTTTTTTTTTCTTTTCTGCAGGGGTAGATGAGAAGGAGGCTGTGTTCTCAAAACCTTTTTGATATTTCTTTATCGGAATACCTGACCATAGACACTCACTGCATAATTTGTTTCCCCATTTCAATTTGGGAGTGTATTATCAAGAGATCCATAGGAGACAAATACTCTGTTAAAGACTGCTCGTATTAAGAAAATACTGAGACAGATAGCAGGGGAAATTGGCTGCTACGAGGTGTCTTATATAGTGTATTTTAAAATATTAACAGTAAGTAAGAGCAGAACAAAGCAAATACATGTGAATGTATAGATCTATTAACTGTAAAGAAAACAAAAATACTTCCTTCACCTTCATGGTACCATAGTAGTAAAGCTAATTAGCCTGCAAAGGAGAGTGAGGGGCTTGTGTTTTTCTCTGTTGAATCAATACGTTATTAGCTGGAGAGCAGCTAAAGCAGTGCACCTGAAATATCGGCAGAAGCATTGGCAGCAGAGCGCAGGGCGCCTTCCTGCAGCCGATGGCTGGTGCACGCTGCCGCTGCCTTCCCCAGGACAAGGTGCTGGGCGTTGCGGGGTCACTACGTGCCCTGGAAGTGCCAGCCTCGGGTGAGTCTTAGGGCAGAGCCCCACGAGATGTCTGCAGCTCCCCTGTTGTTCCTGCTGCCTGCGTGTACTTTGCCCGGGCATCGACTTGTTAGTGCTCGAGGCGGCGGTGGGCACCTCCATGGGCACTGCCGACAGCTCTCCCCTGCTGCCTCTAGCCACTGGGTGTTGGGGAGTGTAGGTGCACTCCTGTCTTGTTGTTTTCTCAGCTAGCCTTTATTCCTAAAATTACTTTTTGCCAGGAACCTGATTATCAGTCTTAGTTCTTTTTCAGGGAAATTGTTTATTATGTGGAATAAAACCACGCGTGAGTGCAGCTGGCAGTCCTTAAATCCAGTCCATACTTACTGTATTGAACACGCAGCTCCAAAGATCTTGACAGTATCATGGGAGAACCTGAGACTGTATTTCAGTTTCCTTGAAGTTTCCTGTAATTAACTTAAACGGTGCGATTCTCTTGAATTTGTGGGCATGACATGGGCTAAGTTAAATATGTCTTTAGGGTTTATTTTGCTTGCAGTTCTGAGGACATATGCAGAAAAATAGACTCTCTATATGACTGGGGTGGGGGGAAGAGCTGCTCTTTCATGTCTAAACAAGCTTTTTCACTTAAAGCAAGCCGCATCTCCCGTTAGTTGGCTCCTTATTTTGAAAGAGAAGCCCTTCAGCGAGCAGGACGGCCGTGGCTCCCCGTGCCGTGTGCCCATAGCTCTCGATGCGGGGGCAAATTCCCTTCCCAAAGCAGTGCTGCAACGTGCTGGGCGCTACCGCAGCTAGAACCTGGCCACGGCGTGGGCGTTAAAGGTGGGTGACTTGTATTAGCAGTGGCGTGTTCAGAAGGGTTTGTATTTTATCTGGTTTGCTCACACGCTTACCCATTCTGGCATGCATATTTGCAGTCCTAATGACTGGTAGTTGCGGCAGCTCGGCGTTGCCTCTCCGATGAGAAATGTAGTGCCAGGTAGCTTTTCTGGCCTTGCACCCAAGGAATACTTTTTAACAGTTCGTACCCTCTGATCTTTATTAACAGGAGAGGTTTCTAGTTCCTGTTCATTAATATAGATCATGCAGATGCAAACGTTTCTTGAAGCTGCTTTCTGCACGTGGAAGTGAATATGCATGTAGAGCCAATTCTTTTCTTCACATAAATCAATTTCAAAAAAGAAAGCTAGTCAGGTCTATCGAGCTGGATCCAGATGATCACACCAGAAATCTCCCTATGCTACCTAACTTGTGACCGATCGCTCTCCTACCCTCCCCAAAGGGTGCATTTTCCAGCTTTCCTTTCACGAGCACAGCTTTTTTCAGTATTTCTCAGCGTTTCTGTCACACATCAGGAATTCAGCGTTTACCCCTGAAATAGTCTCTGCTAGCATCTCTGAAACTTCTCATGCCCTTCACGTTTAATTTTGTGTGGAATAATGCCTGGTGTAATATTTAGGTCTTCTGTTTTCAATTAAGCTGCGTTAGGTAACTGCGCTCTTCTTTCATATCCCATAACAAAGTATCGGTATCCAGATGGCAGTGTGCTGGGATAAAACAGCGACAGTCTTGGCTGCTACTGTAAAGCTAAGAACTAACATTTTAGCCGGCGCGATAAATAAAACCGAGGTTGTGACTCTTGGCGTATTGGAGTTGCACTAAATAACGCTACAGTGCTGTTTATTACTGGTTTCATTGGATAATATGCAGCTATAAAACCTGCTTGAAGCTTTTATTAAGAATACTCTGTCATTATAAAAAGATGCCTACAACTTCTTTATGATATTAACGGTGTAAGAATTACTTTGTGCTGGCTCCCTGGCTGGGTAGGGAGGGCCGGAGCCGCTCGGAGCGTCAGCGTGCTTTAGGCTGCGTGGATCTCCTGGGAAGCAGACAGCTCTGCGGAGACCAGGGTGGAAAAGCGACTTTCAAGGCATTTTTGTTCTACTTGCTCTTTGCTTTTCCTAAAGTTTTTGGTTTTTTTTTTGTATTTAATTTCTTGCTTCAGTTAAACTTTAGCTGATATTCTCTGTGGTATGAAGCCTGCTCCTGTGTCCCTGGGTAGAACTGAAACTGAGGAAACCCAGGTAGTTATCTGAGAGGAGGCTGCGGAAATGCTGGGGAACTTTTATGTTGCCTGAGAAGGTGACGGGGAAGGCCTGGTAGTAGGTAAGGGACTAGGAATATTGAGTCCTGGGCTAGCTTTTGGCACGTCATATGGTGTAGGTTTGTTCCTGTAACCTCCGTGCCTCTGTTTGCCTACCTGGAACCTTTTGCACTGCTTCAAAATACTCAGGTTGCAGTTGTTGTCCACACTCCTATAATTTATTAGACTGTTGTGTTTTCAAGCAAAAGAAAGTTATTTATGCTGTTACTGATTCATTAGTTAATTGCTGTTAAATTTCCATATTCTGGAGACCTTTGGTTGCCGCATGCTCGTGTTTGTGGTGCACCTCTTAGCAAACACAGAACCGAACATCAGCCAGGGGGATGCGGTGATAGCAGTGGCCGTGGGACTTAACAAGCACACTAGATAAATGGGTGAAGGAGCCCTGGTGTTGCTTGGTCCTTAATCCTTGACTGTAAGGGAAATCTGTCTCAATTAGTGACAAATACTATATTTTAATTCCATTTCCCTGTTCACCTTATGTCTGTTTTTTGGCTTGATAGAACGCAGCCAGGAGGAGAAGCGGTGAGGGCCGCGATGAAGGAGGATGAATCCAGCAGTCCGTCCCAGCAAGCACACCTGAGCGCAGGAGGAGACCTCATACAAAGCCAGAATGTGTTTTGGCTTGCCACAATTTTTAACCATATTAAGTCCTATTCAGAGTTAATGGTAAGTGATATGTTTTGTGTACGTTATGATTCATTGAGTAAGTGGCGCTGTGCTTTGTGATACCAAGTTTGGTCTCTAACAAAAAGCAGAATTCATGTATCCAGATACATCAGTGTTTCTTTTCAGACTGTCATGTGGTTCAGATAGCAAACATTGTAATTAGCTAATGTTTTTCTTTTTTTTTTTTCCCTCTCCAGATGAGCTCAGTGAGACTGGTGTAATCAGCACTGAAGAAGGGAAGGACACAGATGGAAGGCAGGGTTTGTCTTTCCATAACACCCAAACACAAAGATTTTATAAACTTATTAGGCAGAGTGTTGTTAATAGTGTAATATTACCAGTAATACTGCATGATGTGACTATGATATAAATATGCACTGTGCTATTTTTACTGCTCTTTGATTGTGTGGAGCAGCGTTTAAGAAATGAGCATATACTAGTGGCCTAAATAAACAGTGAGTGAGAACAGTAAATTGAGAAGCTGGGTAATCCAGAAGTACTGTTAGCTTTTTTGGTTTGTTTGGCTTTTGTTTTTTTTGTTTTTTTTTTAAGCCAGCATCTTTTCTTTTTGCAGTGTTTTCCATAACCCGTAGTTCTTTTGTGACTTGAGAAAGATACAATGAAGAAACACCTTTTCATTCAAGGAATAGTTCTTCTTGACCAGAAAGTCATGTGTATTGTCCTTCACAGTCCTCTTGGCTGTTACAGCAACTTAATGCTTTATCCAGCAGAAAACAGTGCTCACAGTGCTGACCCCTGGAATCTCCATGAACGTCTGTAGTGCTGCAGCATGTGCTGCTCGCTCTTCTCAGGGCTCCCTTTGTCGGGGAGCTGCTGTGTAATGCCCACTGCGGTGCAGCCCTCTGTGACCTCTTGCGTCCAAGTACAGAACTGAGTCTTTTTCCATCTTGAACTTGTGGGTTCTCCCTTCTGAGCCCAACGAGTGTCAAAAATTGCAAAAAAAACATTTGTCAGTGTTGTCTAGGAGATGTGACTGACTTTATTATTATTAATATTTATTAAGTGCCTTACAATGAAGGGAAAGAGTCATTGCCTTCTTTTTTTTTTATGAACAGGATAACTGGCGTGCAGGAAGAATGGATCTCTTCTGTCTTCTGTGATTCCTGACCCACCTAATTGCGTGATTGTCATGAGCAATAACAACCTGGCTCAGGGGAGCGGCGCTGGGGAAAGATGCTGACGTATTCAGTATGGCACGCTGCTGCTCCGTCCCGGAATGGCTTCATGTGGTAAGCAGGGTCTCACTCCCTCAGTGTCTGCTGGCCAGTGAGGGGATTCAGAAGGGCTGACGAGCTGAGGCTGTCTCTCGATCAGATAGCTTCACTCCAGATTTCTTCCAGGCAAAATAAATGTCCTCCATAGTGAGGTATGGCAATGCATTAGTAGGAGCTGCTCTTTTTTTCTTTTTTTTTTTTTACCTTTTTCTTTTCCTTTTTTTTTTTTTTTTTTTTTTGTGATTGTTTCTTCCCACCCCCTGCTTTCTCTCACAATACAGTGGCCTTTCCCTAGGATAAGTTGATTGACTTCACAGCTGGTATTTGCAGTTTTCTTGCACTTGGTTAAACTCTACAGCAATAACTGTTTCTTCTTGGCTGAGACGTTGTTTTCCCTTTTTAATAGTTTATTTTGCTGAGAAGATTATTTCTCTAACTGCTACAAACAATGGTGATTTTGATGTTTATCAATAAAGAATTAGTCTTAGAGATGTGTTTTCCATGTAGAAGATAGACATAAAACCTACTTGAAAGGAATTACAACCTTGGAGAGGCTTTTATAAACATATATATATGCGTATATATATTATTATTATATATAATATTTGCAAGCAAAGAGGAAATAATTCCATCTTTTCAATTGCATTTTTTTCCTTAGTCCTACAGTTGTAAGATAAATACTCAGAAATATGAGTTGTTAAGGTTAATGTGATTAAAATGAATATGTGATAATGAGCTCTGCACATTAAAGAGTAAGAGCTCAAATTATAGGCTCTGAAGTGACACACTCGGTGAGCATTTGGGAATTTTGTTTGTACAAGGAATGCAGGCTTAGGCCCACAGTTGCAGTTGCACAACAATTGCATCCTGTCTGCTGTTTTTTATCTCAGCTGATCTGCACAGAAGTGTCTCGAGCACTGCGGTGTCAGGGTGAAAATGTAGTCTGGGGTGAGGTAGAGGACAAATGAAGAAATAATTTGAGTCCAAGTATTAGCGTTCCTCTATAAAAATAGATTCATTTTACACAAATGATTCACATTTACAAAGATCAGTTTATAGCATTTTGACTGCACAGTACTTAATTCTTTATGTATAAATTGATCCTTTATACAAATGTAATTCCATATACAACAGTTAATCTCTTTGAGTGCAAGTTGCAAATATACTTGCAATTAATTTATGTAGGTTATGACTTTTTTTTTTCACCTGTACTCTGCAGTGGTGTTACCTATGCTAAAGTTGAGTCGGCGTGTGCTTAATGAAAATTAGATGCGAAACGTAATACGTAGAGGACAAAGAAGCATTGAGATCCTTATTGGTCTTAAAAAGACAGAGGTACTTCAGACAATTTTCCTTTCTCAATCTCATGAGAATTTGATGTGTAATTCTGTTAGGAGCAATTTGGAGTGAATGAAACTGAAATATTTTTAGAAACAGCATTAGTGCCAGATATTATTACGCGCCTTTTGTGAAGCCTAGTTTTGTTTTAAAACACTGTGCATTTTAAGAGGCTAATTTATAGAGAATCTCCCATTGAGAAAGAAAAGCGTAGTGGACCTTTTGTGGAGAGCTGAGCCTAGCTGTTATATCTGTGCAATTTGCTAATGTTGCAACCATTTAAATGAGATGTTTGTTTACATAACAGTGATGGCATTTCTCCTCCTCTTCCTTGCGGTTTTGTCCAACTAGATGTTATGAGTGGCAGTTGCAGTGACTGCTAAGTGTTTAAATGATGACACCATTATGTGAAGTGATTTTGAAATGAGAGATTCCAGCCAAGAATTACATCTGCTCTCATCTCCTTCAAATCATACTCTCTGGCTGTGGAGATTATGATTGATTTGTTTGTGACAGATTGCAGGAAACAGTCATTGATTTTTCAATATTTTACCTTAAAATTATTTACAGTTGTAACCAAGGGGAGGTATTTCCATGGGCTGTCAGCCCCTGAAAGACTGGGATAATATTCCCTGCTCCCTGACAAGACAAATTACCCGTAATGAGTGCAGTAGCTGAAGGGTATACTTTTATTTTAAAATATGTCAATAACCCCAGTGACTAAACGAATATTGATTCAGCATAATGAAGCCTGAGTAATGTGAAAATGAGCTCTTCAAGGAGCATGGTAAAGACTTTCTTTTTAGCTTGTAGCAAGAAGCTTTTCATTCTTTACTGTTAGGTAGTGGAAGTGTGCAGTCTTAAAGAAGTCATCCTTAAACAGTAGCAGTACGCAGCGTAGTGTAACAAAAGAACTTAGGTGGGGTTTCTGTTGCTGGTGGTGGTTTCTTTATTTTTATTTTTGTTTCCAAGTTCCCTTTCTTCTGTGCAGTTCAGCGGATCAGATGATTAAAGAGAAAAAATGCAAGTTATCCAGGGCAGAGATAGAATTACTCTTGGTGTTGTCTTTTGCAATAATATTCTTCAGCTTGCCTAATGGCATTTTTAAAGTGGATTCCGCATACATGAGCATGGAAATGTATCTAAATAAACTGTAGATTTAATTTCATATTATTGACTTCTTGGACATATTGATGTGTGTTCTATATGATCGGTCTAATATTCTTGTCCTTTAACAGCTATTTAGAATAGCTGGTTTATGAGAACCTAGATATACGATATTATAAAACTTAGTTACCCTAGTGCACATTTTTCTTTCTGGTGCCTTGTAACACCACGCGATTCTTACAGAATGAGAATTTTCAAGCAGTAATTCATTTAAATTACAGTAATTTATGCAGTGCCATAGGTGTGGTGTGGAAAAGCATCTAATAGATTAATACAGATGTACTTCAATTGTTCAGGGTAAGGATTAGATTAAAGACCATGTTGAGGTACAATTTTCTTAACATTAAAAATATCGAACGCTAAAAAAAAATTATCATGTGAAGGGATCAATTTGTCATTTGTATTCAAGAGCATTGTGCAACATTGGGAGAGCTCTGCAAAAGCACCAGGCATAAGTCGCTGCGTAAGCCGGTCACATGCGACAAGATATTTTGTCGGAATGTTTGCGTACAATATGTCAATTATGAAACAATATCATAGCCAGGAGCGTTTAGCGAGCGTGTTTGGGCACAAAGATGACTTCCCTTATATTTTGAGGACTGACTTCAATTGCATCTGAGTAGCTCGTGAAAATCTTCAGAAGGATGCTTCCTCACACAGGTGATTTTTGCAAATGTCATTCCTCTAGCACAGCTAGAAGGTACTTTCAGAAGGCACTGGAGAACCTGTGGCATTGAGACTTAAATGGCAACCCTGGAACATGAGAGATGTTACAGTTTTTTAATTTGTTAGTTTGCAGAAGGATGCGATGTACATTTGTTTAGTTTGAGAGGGATTGCTCACAACACCAGGGATTTGCAAAATACTGGCGAAGCTCAGTGGTGTTCTACCCATCCCAAATCCTCTGACTGTCGTCTTTGTTTCTGTGCTCTTTTTTTTTTTTTTTTTTTTTTTTTTTCTCCCAACAGTAGGAGGTGGGAAGGGAAGGTGGTCTTTGGTAGTTTTCCCACAGCAGCAAGGAAGAGGGAGGCTGGTCAGGGCTGGGTGCCAGTTCTATTGCAGACCGAAGGGCAAATAAATGTTTGTTTTAACCACATCTGCTTTTCCTGGGTAACAGTGTATGAGCTCAGTGTTACCAAGCTGAACAAAAGCAGATACTGCTGGAGATCCTGCCGAACCAAAGTGGGCTCCGCTTGAAAACCATTGGCTTGTTTCACTTGCAACACAGGTAGCTCCTCTTGCTCTGCCACCTTTCCCTGAGACAAAGTTTGCTTATAACATACCTGCCTGCATGGCAGTCTGGTTCAGGCCTGAGCGACGTGCTTGGCACTGAGGCCAAGTGGCGCATTCTTGGCTGCAGGAAGCTGACAAATGGCTTGGGAGCTCTGCTGGTGATACCAGAGATTTCTGGTGATGGGAACTTGGAATCTCTTACATTTCTCTCTACATCTCCTTCTGGCATTAGAACTGGTACATTTGCTAGTCTGCTTTCAGGTGGCTGAGGAGGATAAAACAAACAAAATGAATCTTAAATGGTCCTGGGGCATTTGGTATCTGTCTCCTAGGAGCAGGATGTAAACCCAACTGCAGATCAGTTAGGCAAAAGAAGAGGAGGAAACACTATGAAACGACATGGTCTGAACTTTTGGGTAGACCTGTGCGGTGTCAAGAGTTGGACTTGATGATCCTTAAGGGTCCCTTCCAACTCAGGATATTCTATGATTCTATGATTCTATGAAGGTTGTGGGCAACAAGGGATTATCTTATTTGTGGCAGAGAAGAAGCTGTTGGTAAACCATAAGGGGCTCAGTATAGGTTAGGGTTAATATTTAGGGTCATGTGCAGAATGCGGGAGGACATGAAAGTGTAGGTGATGGAAGTCATGCTTACTGGCTAAGCTTCCCCCCTATACTGTTAGTCAGAAATCTAAGAGCTAACAGTCTGTAAGTGGTCACCACCGTCTGGCATTTGCTAATCTAAATGACATAGCTACTTGAAAGCTGTTCTTGTGCCTTAAAGTACATGTCTTGAAGTTGCTGTTTCTTTTGGTTTTAATTTATGCACAAAGAATTTATCATCAAAAGCATTTACATGCATGCAGAATATTAACTTTTTCTAGAAAGACCACATTATGTACTGAAAGTTTTCCCTAATTTGAGTAGTGATGGAATTGCAGAGTGCTTAGTAAGGTGGCATGGGGTTTATGGTGAACTGTTAGAGGGAGATAACCCTAAAAGTCTGCGAGGGGGACCCAAGGTGCTTGGAGGGTCTAGCCTAACTGCTGCAGTTAGAAAGGCATGGCTGAGTTAATGCATGAGTGTTGAAATCTGTGTTTGGAATTATGGGAACAAGTTGAGACACAAGAGCTTAATTGATTGTTGATTATTTTCCTTGGTAAATGCTGGAGAAAGATGTATTGTGCTTTCCAATGGTTTTTAAGGAAGATCTGCGGTGTCCTTTTGTTTTGTTAACTTATCTTTTAATATGAAATGTCATTCCCAAAATGAAGAAATGTCCTTGGGCTGGTGGCAACAGCTGGAGTTGCAGAATTCATAAATAATTCAGAGAGGGATAAAGGGTAGGGTTTTTTGTCATTTGAATCTTTATTATGTGCACACATTTCATTTTAGATACGGCATCATTTGAATTCATTCGATATGATGATTGCACTGACCTGTCATATTTATTTTGATGTCCCTTAGAAGGACCATATGCTCTGTCCTTACAATGCTCGTCATGAAAAAGGATGCCAGTTGCTAACCAAGAAGGCAGCTAGGTTCTGGTAGGGCTGAAGACCCCTCGATTCCTGTCGTCACGTCAGTAGGTGTGCTGCTGCAGTGCAGTAGAAGACAGCGTAGCTGTTACGTCAGTGCAGTGACCTAAGTGGCATCGTGGCCTAGAGAAAGGTAGAAGGCAGACACAGTTTGCATTCAGGTGTTTCTTGGCATTAAAACCTCAGCTGCCATTTGAGGCTAGTTGATGTGAGGAACCTAGAATGTGGAAGATGCCAACTAGAAATCTGCCAGGTGTGCTATGACAGCTTTGAAGTGGAAATGTTGGAAGCGGGCTTCTCATGCAGAGTCCTGGGGATATGAGGCTCGAGTCTTTTTATTGACTAATCCATGCTCTTCTTTCCTCTTAAAGAAGTTGGCTCCTTAGCCAAATAAAGCCTCAGACAATGGCTTTTGGAAAATATGCTGTGATCGTTGTTCTCAAATTCTGTGGCAGCTGTTGCATCTGTTCCTGTGCTGTGGACAAGGGGTATATTTCCTATAGCTGCACAGAAGTGTAGGAGTTTCAAGTTGAAGCATAGGCCATAAGTAAACTGCATGATAATGACTCGAGTCCGATTTCCTGCTGGTTAACACCCTGGCTGGTATCGGCAGGTCATAGTTGGTAGGTAACAGGACCGTGTTAATGATCCGCACTATGAACATGACAGGATGCAACCATGGCAATTCCTTGGTGTAAGGTGTAATTGCAGCAGTGAGCAGTGATTTGTATGAAGCAGTTTGTCCATTGTGCTCGTATCAGAGGCAGAAGGAAGCTAATTAAGTGCAAGTTGGTGAAATACAGTAACCAGAAGCTGTGAATGGGAATGATAACTGTTTGTAAAATTATTTCTTTTCTAGATCCTGCCATCAATGACTGAACCTCCCTGAAATCTTCTTATCAGTTACTGCTGAGATGAGAAGGATAACAGGAAAGAGGAGCGCTTAAGTGGTTTTTCGTGACAGTTAATTTCATCTATTTATCAAATGACAGGTTGTTTTTTTCCTCAAAACTTGATTGTCACTGACAAGATGCTTTTGGAAGTTATCTTTGTAAAATGAAACTGACAATTTTTAGGCTACAAAGAGTTATTGTATCTTTCTATACAATGTTGTCATTATGGTAAACCGCTGGAAAGTCGTTATTTTTGAAGTAATTGAACTCGCATACTTCAGTCATTTATTTGAAAGTATGTTGAATGCTGTTTGAGAAGTTTCTTGCCAGAGTTCTTCTATTCAATGGGATAGTTATTCTTACAACACTCAATTTGTTATTGTCTAAATTACTGTTGCCTTAGCCCTCTGCAAAATGTTTCTTTTTAGTAATTCTTACACAAGTAAGGAATGAATGAGGTTTTGTCCCTTGGTGTTTTGATGGGCATATTTTACCTTTCAGTAAAAGCTTCTTTAGTTTTCAGAATGACAGTATTACAAAGAAAGGTGCTTTACTTTCTTTATTTTTTACCAACAGAAAGTGTGTTTTGTGCAATGATTTCTTGAATACGTACAGTGCCAAGACACAGTTACTGGAAGGAGAGACGAGCTGTTGAGAATGTCGTGTTATGCCAAATTAAGAATTATTAATTCTTTCTTTCTCTGTGCAATCTTTTTGACTATAAATCGTCCTAATATGTCTGGCTTATGCTTTGTCTCTAGTGGAACTAATGTGTCCTCAGAGTTGCATTTTAGAGTAACTTCAGATTCACTTGTGTCTTTTTTTTTTTTCCACAAGTCTGCTTTAAATTGCTGGGATTAACTTCAGAGAAGGCAAGGGATGGAGCCTCCTTTGTCAGCATCTGTGCTGGTTAAAGAAGGAAGCTTCATGCACGCTTGCTCACTCTCTTGCAGGTTATTGCCCCTGCTAGGCAAGCATGCTGAAGTGTTTTGCTTAGCACACCCAGATTTAATTCAGCCCGAGATGATCATGTTATCAAATCCTGGTTACCTGGGAGCCCGGGTCATTTTGACAGAAGGGCAGGGAGTGTGCAGGCCAGCTGCATGGATGGCACGTCTGGGAAAGTGGCGTGTTATCAGGAGGTATGTTGAGGAGCTGCTGCTGGTGTAGTCTTTTCATCATGTTCCCTTGCATCTCTAAGATGCAGCAAAAAATGTGACCTGGTGGAAAGCTAGGCAGTTATATCATGTATAATTTGTGTGTTCCAGGGATGGACTGCATAGTTTGCCAATGCAAGTGGAGAGAGAGAGGGTGAGTAGCTAGCAGAGGACGGTGATTGCAAGGAAATCCGTCTGTGGTCAAGATGTTTGAACAGTACATATGTTTCCGTACCTAGCAAACACACTGCTGCATGAATACACTCATCAAAGGGGCTGCCTCAACTACTGCAGGCATTGGCAGAGCTGCTTTTGGCACACGGTGTCTTGAGCTGCCTTTAGAAAAGAGGGGAGAGCCCCCACCTCTGCAGCAGAGCTCCGTCTCCCCATACACTGATGCTTGTCTGTCTGTCTGTCTGATGGTTCATCAGTAGATGCAGGAATCCAGTGAGATATGCAAGGTCTTGGTGCTCCCAGTGTTAAAATCAGAATGTTACAGATGATCTCTAGTAGTGGAGGCATACTGGGTTAAACCAGCACACCTCAAAACTGTCTCTTGCACGGAGGCTGTGGACTGTAGGTGCTGTCCCACCAACAGGACTCGGGCAGACAAAGAACAAGAGGCTTTCTGAGTAGTCAGAAACCTGAGAGCAGCAACTCTGCCTGCGTCTCCTCTTGGGGCACTGCTAGATGAAAAGAACTCAGTTCAGTAGCAGAAAGGGCTGAACTTCCAGCTCACGGGGCGTTGCATTCGATACCTTTTAATTGGTTCTCTGCTGAAGAATGAGGAAGCATGCCCTGGCCTCTCTCCTGTGCCACAGGAAAGCAATGTACAGCATCTGCAGAGGAACTGGTGTGCACCAAGGTGCTGCTGTGCAGGAGAGAGCAGCCTCCCCTGGCTGGTTTGTCCTCCAACAGCACAGTGCTTTCAGCCCACAGCCTGCGTCTGCTGAGCACTAACCTCCCGTGGGCCTCTAAAGCAGCAGTGTGAAGAGATGAGGGATGGGCGTTCATAGGACTAAGGCGCATAGACTTGGGAATGTGCACAAACTTAAAATGGGTAATATTTCTACATTGTGTTAATAGATCTGATGTGACTGTGAAATCTGTTGCTTTACTGCCAAGCTCTGAGTTAACTTGGCTGTGTACTGCTGTACGTTGAGAAAGCGTTGAGCTCTTCCATCAAATTCTTTGTTATTGTTAACCTGTACGCCGAGCTCTGCGCTGCAAATGTGCGTAGCTCAAGGAGGCAAAGCACCAACCACATAATTTCCTAACTCCTCAGCTTTTTACTGATCCAATCTCTTTATTTCTAAGGTGAATTCGGGCTGGCTCCAGGTTTGAGAGCTGAGCCCTGTGATGGCAGCGTGGGGTCAAGCTCCTGCTGAGCTCTGGGCATCCGTGCTGGGTTCAGATGTGAAGTGCCTCATGCCAAGAACTTCGAGACGTCTCCCATGGCCGCTGAGAGCTGAGCTGCTGCAGCTCCTTGAGACAGCCCGTAATTCTTGCATCTTAATATGGGCCATTGTCATACCCATGTTAAAATACTTAATGAAACGCTTGCGACTTCCTAATAAAGTTTTTGTCTGCTCGAGTGTTAATACCATATAGTTATGTGTAATTAAACCAGTGCTGGAAAAATAACATCTGTCTTATGTAGAGCACTGTCATAGCTGTGTTATGCCAATGAGTAAAATTTTATGTCCAGGCACTTAAAATGATCAAGCGCTATAGTTAAGGCTGTCATATTGTTTATATAGCACTAAAAAGAAAACAAAATACGGTTTCAGAGCAGACAGACTTTATTTTCTTATAAATACTCCAAATAATAGGTTGGTTTCAACTAGACTTTCTGGCTCTTCAGTGATTGCCGCATTCTGTATGAATATATCAGAATTCCAGGCATTTCATAATTTATGTTTATTATTATAAACACATGATTTCTGTGTATGGTTGCCACAACTATGTTGGACAAAACATAGTTTACCTTCTGAAATGGTACTGTACTTTTACTTTTGAACCTCTTTAACTTCAGTCTTGGTTGAATAAAATGTGCATTCCTGAAAATAATCTGTACATCTGTAATATGGCCGTTGATTTTACATGGCTGTTTTCATACTCCAGACATAGCAAAGCATTTTCAAGGCAATATATTTTGACAATGTGTGGAGATAAAAATCAGTTAATGACAAACTCTAAGGTGTAAATTTTTAATAAGAGCAATGAATCATTAGAAATTATTAGAAAGGGAATAGTAGATTTTCTAGCATTTGAAGTTGTTGAATGAAGATGAAATGTTTTCACAGACATATGTGCTTGAACAAACGCATGGGTGGGGTAGAAGAATTCCTCGTGGGCTTCTGAGGCTTTTGTTACACCTGGGGTCAGACTGGGTCGTCTTAAACGTACTTCTGGCTTAGAAGAGAGGGCGGTATCTTGGTATAGCTAATACCTATAACGTAGCAACTTGCACCAAATGGCTATTAAAATTTACTTGAACTTCACTCTAAAAAAAAAAAAAGACAAAAAACTAACAACAACAACAACAAAAACACATCTGGGAGGGGGCATTGCCTAACAACTACTTTGGCAAGGCTTCTGACTTTTCAGATCGTGCCTTTTTCCAACATGCTTTTTTATCTCACTTCACTTGGTTCCAAAGAACTGAACATTTCGTTGGCTTTAGGTGGGTTTCTTTCACTCATCCATCCCTCCTCCCTGCCCCCCCCCCACCTCAATTATTCAAACAGCACATGGAAAAAACAGAGCAAATGTCTTTTATGCTGCTTACTAAGTGAAATTCCGCCTTGTTGCTAGAAATAATTGTTAGGTTTAAAATAATCTGACAGCATCCTGCTGTGTATAAATTAGGTTTGTTCGCTGCTAAGATTAGTTAGCTGGCACCCATTCACTAACACATCACAAAAAAATGATCACAAGTAGATCGCGTCCGGTTATCTGCCTTTTTTCTTTTTAATGGGCTTTTTGTTGCTGTGCTGTCACCCAGGTTGAAATAAACGTGTGCAAGTCATGCGATTCCAAGTTCTCTGCAGCCTGGGGAGATGATATTGGCTCTTTGGGAAAAGACCCGGGGGCATAACCACTGGAGAAGGGGAGAGGTTGTTTGCACTTCGATCTCTGAATCTTGCGCACCTTTATTTTTGGCCAGGTTGGATATCTTCTGCTCTATGGCATGCAGTATGTTATCAGTGAAGTCCAATATGCCAGGTATAATTAGCTCATGTGTTTAAAGAGCTGTTGTTATTTTTTAACTTGTATGTACTAGTCAGCTTTCATGCAGAAGTACGTATTTTACATGGAAAGAATGCTGGGTGATTCAGAGAAAAGAGAAATGCTATTTAAAGTCGTGCACTAGTGTTTTAGATTTCAAAAAAGACCACAAGGTTTTTATTTCTGTGTTTATGATTGATTAGGGTTAGAGTTTTAAAAGCTTAATGCTGACTATAAGAGCTTTGTAGTCAGTCACTGAGAATTATGGGCTTGGCATAATTCACATTTTTATTCTTCAGTATATCCATTATTGTTAGATGCTGAGTAGTCATTGCACACAGATAACTGGGTTGGTTTTGGGGGGGGATTTTACATCTTTACACATTCTGAAAAATACTTCGTTAAAGTAGCTCCCGAGTGAATGGGGTAATTAAAGAACTTCACCGCTTTTATTGAAGTTGACACATGCTGCACGTTCTGTAAAACTCAGTATGTGAGCAGAATGTTTCCAGGATTTATTGAAAGTCAGACACCTCGAGATACTAGGGAAGCTTTCAATAGCAGTAAAGATAACTTCGTTTTTTACACAGTTAAATAAACCTGTCTCTAAGAAGAGAGCTATTACTGCAATACATTACTCATGACCTTTGTGTTTTCTGTATGCATACATTTCATGGATGCATATGCGCACACATCTGTACAGAAGTGCTGAAGACCTGAGCAATTTTGTTTGACAGTAACACCATCATTTATTCTATTTAGTATTTATTTGCAGAAAAATAGTGTTGCAATGTTGACTGAGGATCTTAATTTACTTGGTCCCAGTGGAATGCTGCAGCCTATTGATTTTTATTTTTTAACTGAAATGCAATCCTGCATAGTTTGACTTGCAGCTCTTAGTGTCTGAGAGTTTGACAAAGCAAGTGAAGAATCTCACTTAATGTAAACTGCAGACTTGGTTTCATTTTAAATGATACGAGTGCAGCATTCCGCATGCATGATGCCTTGGAAGTAGCAAAAAATGTGAACTTGTAATTGCAACACACAGTGACCAATCATGTTAGATGTGAAATTCCTCAAAATGTCTATTGAACAGATATAGTTACTGATAGTGTAATTTTTAGCTGTCTTTTTCCAGCATATTGGAATAATTTAAAGTCAAATTGAGAACATTCAGTTAGTCATCCTTTCCTGTCAATGGCTTATGTCTTAAAATTATCTTTAATATTTATTTTTTAAAGTGTGTATTTAAGGTAATGGTAACAAACATGCATCTTTCAAGATCAAACCATATTTTAGCTCTCGTTTGCATTTTGTTTACGTGGCCCATGGCATGGAGAACCCTGCCAAGTACACTCCACTCCTCTGGGTTTCGGTGAGAACTGAATGACCAGAGCTGTGCACAGCTAAGCACACAGCCTTATCAGCATCCATGCTTTATGTAGATACAGGCAAAGTGCTTTCCTGAAGGAGCAGGCGGTCTTGGAAAATATCAGAGGGCCAGATTCTTCCACTGTGAACGACCCCAGCACGCAGCTGACGCTATCAGAAGCAGCCGCACCTCTGTCAGATCCAGGCAGCGCCAGGTGGGTGGAAGCTGTGGCTGGTGGCCCTGCGGCCAGCGGCCGTGGCAGCAGTGCCCAGGGATGAGCAGGTAACTGGACGAGGGCAGGAGGGGAGGCAGGTACTAAAACATGCTGTTTCTTGTTTTCTCAATGCTTCCAGGTTAAGGCGTGGCCATCTCCGTTACCTTGCTGAGAGAGAGGAAGTCACTGCAGACCAGCAAAGTGGCTGGAGGTGCCTTTTTCAAAGTCTTCGTTTTAAATAGCAGTAATTAAATCTTAACTCACAGGCAACCTTTGCCTGGAACGTCCATTATATCAGTGTACTTTAATAAGACATAAGAAGTGCTTTGGTAGTGTTCAATTCTTAGTAGTGTTGTATATCATCTATGCTTTGCATGATTTCAAAGAAGAATGTTGCCCTTACTATTGAATTATTTGTCTAAAAACAAAAAACATCATACTTTCACCTGTGTATTTTGGGATATTTAAACTATTAAACCTTAAGTACTTTTCAAGCATTGTTTGACTTACTATTATTGCATGCTATAAAATAAAATGCAATATTAAAGTGCAGGCTGAATGAATATTATTCATCAGCTACAAATAAAAATATTAAAAAACATATATTTTTTTCTAATTCTTTACAGTAAGTTTTACATTATTTTTATGTGGGATGTGGGGAAAAAAAAGAGATTAGTGTCCCTTACTGGGATGCATAAAGTGCTGTTGTGTATTGCTGTTCCAAATTTCTGTGTCTGTGTTGTATCAACTGGAAATACATACTTTTTAATTTTAGCATCACGTTACATATGCATAGAAACTAGTTTTATACCTGAATGTGCGAGTGAGAAGGCTATGTATTTTTAGTTGTCTGTGTATTCCAAGAAATTCAGCTGACGGCAAAGTCTTATCACATTGGGCTCTGCAAGTTGAAGACAAAAATTAGTTTCTAAACTACTTGCATGCTTTAACATTGTGAGTTGATTCCCATGTGTTAAAGTGTAAACCACTAACTAATCCGTAGGAGTTTATGCAGGAGAAAGTCATTTAATTAACACTTTTAATTTCAGCTGTGAAAGAAGGTGAAAGTGAGGTCTGGAAAGTGGAGAGAGGCTTTGTTTTTCATTGCTGAAGACTCACTGTGCTGTAAGTCTGCTGTTGATAGCACACGTAGACCATCTCCTTCCTGCTAATTAGGCCTTGTGAACATTGGTCTCTAGAAACGGGATGTAGAAGTGTTGTGGTTTTTTGTTGGTTTTGAATGTTTTTTTTTCAAAAAACGCTATACCGTCATAAATAAGGAAACTGTATTTAGTATGTAACTATTATACAATGCTCGTTTGGCAGGCTATAATTTAATAGAACAACAATGATCAGACCAGTATATCAGTTAATTTTCAAAACATTTTATTCCACACAAATTAGCTCAGGTCCTGGAGGGCAAAATGACAAGAGGTTACTCGTACACTATGTATTTAATTAATTGAAAAATGCTCAAATTGCTTTTACAGTTGTTATTAAAAAGTAGAATCAGTGTTGCCAGTGCTCAACCATAATTAGAGCCCCGGGGAATTAAATATTTAGCATTAGTAATGTAACAGCACTTAAGACACAAATTTCTATTTTTGTAATGAAAGCAATACAGTGTAAGTGCAAATGGCTGAAACGACAGCTGTGACAAGTGAAGCAGCCTGGGATATTTCAATAAGACACCTCATTGGACAGCAAGTCTTACCACATTACTCGTTTGTAAAAGATCTGCAAGTTTAAATCCCAGCAGTAATGCATTACACCCAGTATTTAGACTTCTAATTGCTCACAGGACAAACGGTTGGGCAAATGTCACGCCGTAAGTGGTGGAAATGTGCCGCGTTTTCCCAAATATCGCGGCAGGGTCGGTGCCTCTGTCGGCAGTGGGCAGGGGCCGGGGGAGGCAGGGTGGAGGGAGGAAGAGAGCTCTTGTTTGTTTTAAGTTTAATTACATTTTAAGCAGAAGTGCTTTCAGTGGTACAACGTGAGAAGTCGGATATGGGGCTCTAATGAGCTGTAGTGGTGGATGGCTGGGGACCCTGAGGGATTCATTCACCAAATTAACTGGATAAAAGTACTTGGTTTGGGCACGCTATGATGGCTGGGCTGCGTGTAAAAACCCCTCTTCAGAGCTGTCTCCCATTCCTGTTTTTGTTCTAAGCAGGCCACGCGGCGACTTTCACTGCCGCTGCTACAACCGCTCAGGAGGTGTTGTGTTACCAGCTAATAAGGAATAAAGCATATTTTACTTTTTTTTTTTTTCTCTTTTTTCTTTTTTTCCCCTGGGGTATAAGGGGGAGGAGGTCAGCTTGAAGTTGTTTGTGTCTCTTTCACATTAAAAAAAAAAAGCTGCAGTTGGGCACCACACATCTTTGCCTTTTCAAAACACCAATTTACTTCCCAGAAACAGGACATTTGGGTGGAAGAGGTGCAACACTAGTCTGCGAAGGCACTTCTGTTGCTACTGGCACACGCCTGCACCGTAGGCTTTGTAAAGGTGCTGAGCACGGCAAGCACCCATCTGCACCATGGCAGGGGACCCCGCAGGGCACCCCATGAGGCCGGGAGGTGGCCAGGAGGTGGCCATCAGGGCCAGGTGCAGGCCCAGGTGGCTGCTGCCTGCCCAGCTGGGCACACTCAGCACCTGGCCCGCCTCAGGCACAAAATGGCTCCTCCTGGCCCACTTCATGCCCCTGCTCCTGCTGCCTGGGGAGCTGGTGGGCATAGGGCTGGCCTCAGTATTTTTGAAACTCATCGCTCTGCTTCAGCCCAGCTCCCACAGTGAGGTTTGAGCTGTTGGCTGAGGGTTTTTTAGGAGATTCACCTCAGTGTCTGCCCAGTTACTGAGCTCCAGGAGGGCGGCGAGCTGCCTGCATTACGGGCAGCACCGTGACTAGGGGTGCCTGGCCTCTGCTGCTGAGCCTGTGGGAACTGCTCAGGTAAGTGGAGGGGGATTTTGGACAAGGCTGGGGTTACAAATAACTGGCCACTGAGGGGCTGGGGCATAACATGGAGAGCAGGGGGTGTTGCTGAGGAAATTGGCCTCTAATGGATTTGTGGACACGGGCCCTGAGCGCCTCTCAGGGCCCTGTGGTGCCCCAGGGCTGAGCTCGCCTCAGGTTCCTGAGCTCTCACCTGCTCACCAGAGGCTTATAGACAGAAGCCCCTGAGTTGTGTGGCTCTCAGAAAAGGGCACCCGAGGTGCTGGTGTGACTGTGGATTACTGCTGAGTGTAGAACTTCTCTTGCTCCCATAAACAAAATGGAGGCATTGCCCCCCCCCCCCCCCCCCCCTCCCCTTCTGCTGGAAGCTTTGGGCCCTGGGCAGCAGGGGTGTGATGCTGAGGTACTGTCAGTGGCGTGATGCTGCCTATTATGGCGGTGAGCTGAGAAATCCTTGTTTCATCCCTGGGCAACTTATTTATTTATGTTTTGGAGTCCACTTGTACAAAGCTGCTCTCTCCCAAGGTTCCTGAGGCTTGGGCAGTGTCTGTTGCTGCCAGGCCCAGCTCCTGCAAGCCCTGCGGTGCCCATCTCTCTCTAGGGATGTTGTCTTGCAGTGGGTGAGCAGGGGCTGCCTGCTTTGCCTCCCTGGAGATTGACAGCTGTGAAGATGTTTCCTTTCTGCTTTATTTTTGCTCTTTTGGCATCTTTTCTTTGTCTCAGCACGTGCTGTACTCAGTGCTGTAAAGCATAAAGGCAGTATCTGACCCTTACTAATCTCTCAGCCTTCCAGCTGAGGACAAAATGCCCTTTTTCTGCTCCAGACTATGTCAGCGTCCTCTGCTTGGAGGCCCCTCACAACCTACTCCACCTATTTCTACCTTAAACGTAAACTAAAAGATATGAACTTCAGCCGTGGTGAATTGGTTAATCCCAGCCAAAGGACACCCAGTGTTACTTCTGACACTCTCGCTAAAAACAAACATGCACACAGAAATGCAGTAATTTACAGAATTGTAGATCTCTCCTGAATATCTTCCAGGGTTTTTGTTGTGTGTTTTTATTTTTTATCTACCCTTCTCTCCACCCCCATTTATTTAACATAAACCCTCTCCTGACTCCTCAGGTAGCTGTTAATGTTTTCAGACTCACTGTGGCACTGAAGGGCAGTGTGAAGTTTCAAGTCATCCTTAAGCGATCTGCAGTCTTCAGGGCCTGATTCTGCAGCTGGGCACGATGTTTCCAGCAATGAGTCTGTCAGTGCAATAAGGATGACAACTCATCTAACTGTGGTTACAGAATTGGACCCATGGAGAGAGGTTTTTCCTACTGCTACTGTTTTATTACAAATAGGGAAGCTGGACCACAAAAATACGTTCAAAAACTGCATCCCACTGCTCAGAAAACTCTGAAATTGGGTTCCTGCTGTGCTGCGTTGCTGATCTACATGTTTCCAGACAGTTGGAAAACTTAAACTTGCATTACAAGCCTAGGCCATATTGAACAAATGAAGGGCAGATTTTCAGGCTCGGCTCTCCGTTTTGGGGGTGGGGAAGAAGGGTTGTTAAGCTCTTAATGTTACACTCACGTAGCGTGTGTGACGATGAAATGAATTGGTTAATGAGTGCCTAAGCATCTGTTCAGACTCTGGTAGATACTTTGCCAAGGTTCAAGTTCCCTAAGGAGGATTAGCCACCTGGTACAGTTTTCATGATATACTGACAAAGGGGACACCCACCTTTAGTTTTACTGCAGATGATGAACGAATACTAGAAGAGCATTTAGACAAATGTACAGGGTCCCCAAGAAAGTCTGCGAGCTCGAATGATGGATTTTTGTAATCTAGTGATTACTTTTGTAATTGCTACAGTTTATATTGTAGCAGAGTCTGCAACCAGCGTGTATTTTTCCAGCAAGAGTGACGTGTACTCTCTCTGCTCATCTCCTGGTCTCACCGAACAGACTTATTTATTTCCCTTTTTCTTAAATGGCACGCAGCTCTTTGCACACAATTATCTCTCTTGCTGTATAATATATAAAATCAATATACACCATAGGGCAACAAGAAATGGTGATAAAAAGAGTTTCAAAGAGAAAAATGAGCATTTCATAGCCTGAACTTACAATTAGGCTTCCTAAAGTGTCTAGCTTTCACTGCACGGACAGCATTATGAGTTGATGAAAGGCCCCCACTAAAAGGCTTAAATTTATGTGATGGTAGTATCACTTTACGATGAGCATGATTTAGGAGGGCTTTGACCCATCAGGCACATTACAGCAAAGCAACTTGGTATGCCTGAAAGACAGAAACATTACACATTTGTTGCTAAGCTCAGAAATAGCTGAAACCACACAACCAACCTGAATTAAGGAAATTAAACGGATCTGGGGTCTTGGTGAACTGCAAGGAGAGTCATGTATAGGAGAGGGCTTTTGCCTCTGGGTTACCAGTGCTGCTGAAGCCATGCAGATTTGCTTTCTGATGTTGGATTGATTTGGGGGGAGGAGGGATGCATGTGTTGGCTTGTTGGGTGGGTGTCAGTGGGGTAAAGCACCACGGTGGGCTCTGTGACTCCTGCTGCAGCCTGCTCCAGGTGCCGTGGGCTAGGGGAGGAACCAAGGCTGAAGTGGGCAGCTGGGCCGAGATGTCCCCAGCTGGGGATGTTTGTGTCTGAGTCCCTGCCCTGAGTGCCTCAGGTGCGGCCGTTCTGCAGGAAACCCGGCGGGGCTGGGACGGGGCTGCACCTCTCGGCCTCGGTGCGGATGCAGGCTGTCAGCGGGGAGACGCGCGAGTACATGGAGGAATCTCAGAGCTCCGTCTGAAGGATTTGGCAGTGGTTTAGGTGCCTGCGGGGGAGAGGAGACAATAAGAGCGTTTGTTGGGCGGCTCATCCAGCAAAACGTGCGGCTCTGCAGCTGGGTGCCGTGGCTGCTGTGGGAGGCCCGGCTGAAGCTGAGGCAGGAGAACCCCAGCAGGGCCTGCTTGTCTGAGGTATTTAAAAACACAAATGCATGCGGTGCCCTCAGTCTGCATTTCAGCACGGTGCTAGAAAGGCAGGGGAAGAGCCTGCCTTTATTTGGCCTTACATCGGCAGTGTTGGTGATGCAGAAGTCAAAGCAATGATTCCCAGCAAGGGACCCTCAAGACGAGTTGGGCACCACAGTGCCAGGCCCTCTGCAGTTCTTAAGCTTTGCTTCTGAATACTTTTGCCATCTAACAGTGAATATTTTTAAAAGTAAAATAGTGATTGAGTAGTTAACCTGTGGGATGTGACCGGTACGAGACCAACATGGTAGGTGATTCCCATTACTGCGGGTGATGCCGTCTGGTAGTCCACAATAAAGAACTGCGTTTCCAGGAGCATGTGTGTGGGAGCACATCCTTCTCCGGCAGAGATGTGCTGTGGTCTAAGTGTCCTTTTTCATTGGGAACAATGGGTATGATGAAACTTTACCCAGTGACCCTTTTTAAGTTTCCCTTTTGGGGCATGGGGTGTTTTTGTTTTGCTTTTAAATCAGCCAGCCAAATAAGTAGCATGGTGTAAAAATGCTTTGTTCCCAGCTAAAACATTTGTTGGAAGAAGCACCCGAGAAATTCTTTCAGGTTTCTAAAATCTTGTGCAAGACAAACATCTGAAGCCGCAACCTTTTTGCCTGGTGTAACAGGACCCACAGCGGGGTTTAGTGCTGCAGCTGGATCCCCGAGATCCCGTGGATTGGTTTACTCCCACTGTTTGTGCCTGGCAGATCCTAGCAGGCTCCCAGAATGTCTTTTACATGCTGCAAAACCATTCGTACTTCATTTGATATTTATCAGCATCAGCTCAAGTACACTTTGTAAGTAGCTCTGAATTTCTGCGTGCGGTTTAAACGTTCAGGGTTGCCAGGAGCGAGAATAAGCAGGCTCCTTCTCCTTTTAATTTTTGTCACTCTTTTCTTCTCACTTGCTTGTTCTGGCACATCACAAGCAGGCTTCTGTGCTTTCACATGAAACGTAAGCCTAAAGTGGCCTTCCGTAGGTCACGGAGCTGGGTGAATGAAAACGTTTACAATTAAATGCCAAGATAGTCTTTTAAACAAAGTTTTTCACTTGCTTGCCTGCATAGACACAATCAGAGGCACTTAATGGAGGAGCGTTTTCACTTTGGGTTCTGTGGGTTTCGCTGGTTTCTCTCCTCAGTCTGGCTGCAGAGCAGGGTGTCCCACCTCCCCGCACCACCCATCCGTGCCTGGCGAGTGCCTGGGTGGGTGCAAGCAGGCAGGGTGCTGAAGGAACTCCCTGTCCTTGGCCGCGCCTGCCCAGTCATGTTTGTGAGTGCACAAAGGGAAAAAATCGAATCCTGCCGAAGACTGAGCTTGTCTGCTGGAATAATGCCTGCTTGCAGGTGAGAAATTGTCTGTCTCAGTTTGGACAAGGGAACTAATTGTTTGGTCCTGTCTGGTTTTAAGTGCTCTGAGCAATCTGGGTTCCACCACTTCCTTTGGGAGATTACGTTGCTTAATACATCTGAGTATCAGGAAGTTGGTTTCTTGCCCTGGGTATTCAATTTAAAAATTTCTTTAATTAATTTAATCTCATTACAAGAGCTGGCAAGAAAAACAAAATAATTCTCAGAGTGAGGGTTTGCTCCTTGGTCAGGATCCGCTAAGCGATGTGCTCAACTTGCTCATCTCCAAGCTCCAGTCCTGCAGATGGCACCCAGTGGTGGCTCTTCTCTCTCCAAGGCTTCCCCCCATTGCACGTGGGGTCCTCACCAGTTTGTCCTTGAAGTGTCCTGGCTGCTCTCTGTGGGGTGTTACCACACATATGACACATTCACACATAATTACTCTGACCTTCTGCAAGTTCTCGGCCTGGTGAAGCTTTATCGTGGGAGGAAGTGTGTAAAAATGTGAGTATTTCTAAAATACGAGCAGTTGGAAGGAGACAGGGCGTGCGTGCGTGCGAGCTCCTGTGTCTCAGCTATCTGTGGTTCTGGCACAGCCCTTGCGTGACC